TTCCTACCACGTTTGTACGATACACACAGCACAAGGAGATACAAATGGAGCAGGAGTTAATTAATTGAATACGAGAAGCTGCTTGATAAGAGTGGATAATAAGGAGATTACGCAGGCACTAGCTTGTTTGGAGTTAACCATTCAAATGTTTGGTGTTGTATGGATTATTTATGTAAACACCAAACCCCGCAGAATTCGAGGTTATGAGAACAGGTTGACATTTCGAAATAGGTTCCGTCATTCAACGATTCCTGTTGAATTTACCGTTTATCCTTGCCTATGTTATTGTCACTGTCGATTTATCCATGGTTACCGGAATTTTAAATAATTACGAAACAACAGGTATTTGCGCAATGTTAATTAGGCAGATTACATTGCTGCCGTATTTCTGATATAGTTTTTTGCAAATTTCTCAGTTTTTAATAACAATTAATTTTTCTTGCTAGTTTTTCTGTACTCCTAAAACATCCCCAGACAACACCTCCAGAGGAATGACCCGAATTTTGAATCACCCTGTATAATCGTTGGCCGGAGTGCCGCGATGTCATCAAACTCGGGGCTACCTTACGTCATCTCTCTTCGAACGTAGAATTTATTCGCGTCTGTCCGAGACCGAGAAGAATATCAACCAATGCGTCCAATATTATCTTGCAAACCCACCGATGGCCGATAGGTTCGAGGGAATTAGAAACGAAATTCTATTAGAGCAGACTGTTGCTCCAATAATATGCTTTTTAGCGACTAATTCTGCAATCAAAAGCCCGAACGTTGCTGGAAACAATCCCATACTGTGACTACTTTCTGCATGAGAACGGTCTGCGGCCGGTAGTGAAATAGGTAAAATTGAATCCATCCCACTAAAAGTACTCATTCCTAGATGTCTTCAAAGAGTCTTCAAGTGTCTAAAGTGATTTAATGTGACCTATTTGATTTGCTTGGCATTTTGGCACGCAGTCTAATGGCTCCTGGCGCGTCAAAGATTTCTGTCCTGACCCCGTACTTCCTGGCTTGGCAGTGTTGGAAGCAGGCCAATCAACTGATAATAATGGAATAATGGAATAATTCGTTATTGTTTCCGACAACAGCCCTTGTGCTAACTTGTAATCGTTCCGACGCCTCTTATTTCGGCCCTGTATTGACGATTTTGGAGATTCCCGTTTGGCAACTTTCATGCATCACAATGATTGGTAACTGACTCTTTTACGGACGATATCTTCCTTATTTTCGACCSACAACTTTCACGTTYGCTATTGGGCAGCTTCTTAGGTCGCAATCAATCCAATAAGGGCAAAAAACGCGATTGCAAAATTTTGATTTTTTGGTCGAAAATTTCATAAAGGGTTAAGAGGTCGAGTACAAAATACCTCGAGTGATACATCATTTTCAACGGAAAGAGACAAGGAATGCAACGAGCTAATTAAAAGACACCGGGGCCTTTCCAGTTCCCAAATAATTCACATTTTCTGTCTATTTTGAACGGTTTTTGAGCGGGCGCAATCTTTAACGGACGATATCTTCCTTATTTTCGACCCACAACTTTCATGTTCGCTATTGGGCGGCTTCTTAGGTCGGAATCAATCCAATAAGGGCAAAAAATGCGATTGCAAAMTTTTGATTTTTTGGTCGAAAATTTCAGAAGGGTTAAGAGGTCGATTTTTCCAAAAAACTCAAGTTCCTCAAAATACCTCGAGTGATACATCATTTTCAACGGAAAGAGACAAGGAATGCTACGAGCTAATTAAAAGACACCGGGGCCTTTGCAGTTCCCAAATAATCAACATTTTCTGTCTATTTTGAACGGTTTTTGAGCGGTCGCAATCTTCAACGGACGATATCTGCCTTATTTTCGACCCACAACTTTCACGTTCGCTATTGGGCAGCTTCTTAGGTCGGAAACAATCCAATAAGGGCAAAAAACGCGATTGCAAAATTTTGATTTTTGGTCGAAAATTTCA